TTTTACAGCTTTAAATGCATTATGAGGTTTGATGTGTTCATTTTATAGTTTCGAGTGCATATATTACTGTTTTATTAATTATGGGTTGAAAGACTGAAGAACTGATACTGTATGCTGTCTGTTTGGCATGAATTACGATTTGCTTGTTTAAATGTGAATTGATGATGCTTATTGAGGAAAAGGAAAATGAAAGATTGTGTAGACTGATAATTGTATGATGGGGTCAGCCTGACTAGATATCCTGGGAGATGGTGGACGGACCGGGTCCGTAGGGAACCCTACCGGGATTGTGGTCTCACATGCCGGACGGGGTATGGAGATCTTATGGTTTTGGCGCCCATGCCGGACGGGGTATGGGGACGGCCCGTTTCACCCTCATACCGGACGGGGTATGGGGACGTCCCGTTTCACCCTCATACCGGACGGGGTATTGAAGTTTATAGTTTTGGCGCCCATACCGGACGGGGTATGGGGACGGCCCTGGAAACTGATTATGAATGTTAAAGGTTAACGGGTAGCGGGACCCCTATGGACCCCCATGGATACTAGTAGGCTGGTAAATGAGAAAAGGATATGTTGTATAATGATTGAATTACAAAAGGCGTGATAAGTGCTATGTTTTACAGCTTATATTATTCCATGATTGTGATAATGTTATTGTTTTCTTATATTGTTTCATGAATTCCACCGAGGTAAGTGGATGGTAAAGATTTTATCATAAATAAAAGGATTTGTTGTAAATCATGCTCCATTGGTCTTTTGTGTTTTTCTACCCACCTTTACCTCCGTGACGGTGAGATATCGTGATGTTCTTACTGGGCTAGTGTAGCTCACTCCTTATTTAACCATTTCAGATCAGGAAGACATGGTTCCCGAGCCCGTTCCGCAGGAGGACAACGAAGGGGATGCCTAGAAACTCTGTAGTCATACTCATAGTTTTATTTTCGAGTTTCTCTCTTAGTTAGTTTAATCTTTTATATTTTGTGAGCACGTTTCGGTTTCAGTGTAAACGATGTTATTCAAATTTTGACCTCGCTTCCGCATTTGATATTTTTGAATATAAAATTTCATTTTAAATTTCCGGGACTGCTACATAGGTAGTAAGGTGTGAGAGTATTTTAACCATTAATAAGTTGATTAGAGGACAAATTAATAAGTTGATTAGAGGACAAATTATTGTAAACAGGTGCTATCTTTGCTTGTGTGTTGAGGAATCATGTAATCACCTTCTTTTATGGTGTCCGGTTGCCTATAGCTTATCAAGCATTATTTATGAGTTCTTTGGGATTAGTTGGGTGATTTCTAGGATTGTAAGAGGGGAAATTTGGGCTTGGGATGGACTTAGTTGCAAATGTAATGTTGCCAATTTGATTCCTTTGACTGTTTTTTGAGTTCTTTAGAAAGAAAGAAATGTTAGAGATTTTAAAGGGAAAAAATTAGGTTTGTATAAATTAAGAGATAGGTGAATTCATTATTTTGGGACTAGTTTGTTGCATTATGATATTGGTAGGGTTGAAGATTTTGGGGATATAATTGATATACTAACTATTTTGTAAATCTCTATGTTTATTGGTTGGTACTCATTTTTTTGGTACCTGTTTAATATACACATTACATTTTTATTTTTTTTAAAAAGTTGATTACAAGGGGCAAGATTTTTGGTCAATGGATGCTACTTGTATAAAGTGCCTAAAGAGACATATGAGCCTCTAGTGCTCATTGGGAAGCAGCTCATGGATGTATATTGATCATCAACAAACTAATGAAGAGAGGGAAAAATAATGACAAACTGGTGTTGTATCTATAAAAGAGCTAAAAAGGGTTTATGACCACTTATCAGGTGTCCCATAGTATACAGTTTATGATCTATGGCTCTCGGGATTCTTGGGTTACAACTAGTGATGTGAGCAAGGAGAGAGAAAAGAATATCTTTAAAGGGAGAATCAGCCAAGAGGAAAGATTTCTTCCTAAACCATGTGATATATTAAAGGAAGAGAAAATCAAATCTCATTTCTCAAAGAACTAAATCATACGGTTTAAGAAAGATTTGAGTGGTCTATTTACTCTTTTAATGGGTAATTTTAATTAACCATATTTATTTTCCCTAATTCCGCTACGATTAATTAAAATATTCTCATTTAAAAAGAGAATTTTCTATCTATCCTATTTTAATCAAAATTTTTTTAATTTTCATTATTTTCTCATTTAAGGTAAGATTTAATTTTTTTATAATTTTTACAATTAATTTAGGTGATTTATTTTCTTGTAATGCACACGATCTACTTTATAAATAGATATTTAATTTCTAATTATCTTCATTCAAATTTGATAATAATAAAATTATAAGTTTTTAGTTTTCAATTAGTGAGGTTTTCTTCAACCTTTTTGTTGAGTGAGAATTGATTCAACTCATCAAGATCAATTTTTGTAGTGTTTATCAATCATTCTTGAATTGATTTCACTTATAAAGGTTCCATCTTGTGGTGTTTAATCAATTCAAATTATCATCCCAATTAGCTTAGTTGATATTCACGTGTCGAATGTAGGTAAAGTAGAGAGGGTGATTTTAAACACTAAAGTATATGTGAGGTTTTTGATCACATTAGTTGATTATGGATTCCGCATCAACTAGGCTATGACTAGTACTAGTAAGGAGGAGATTTGGGCTTGGATAGACATTATGAGAAGAAAGAAGCAGTTGGGGCTATTCTGTTGGCAACTATTTGGGTGCTTTAGAAAGAAAGGAACATGAGAGTATTTGAGGGGGTGGAGGAGAATCTTGATAAATTAAAAGAGGGATGGTTTCAAAACTTTAGTATTTTGATATTGAGACGACAGTTGTATTCAATGGAGAATCTAGAAGATCTTATTGATATACTTGTTGATATCTAAATTCTTTTGTATATGGATTTTGCACCTCCTTAGTGCATGTAAGTAATATAATACACACTTTTTATTTCAAAAAAAAATTAGCGTTTAAACTACGGAGCATGGTACATAGAATCCTGGGTGTCAGTTGGGTAATGGTGGGGAGTGTAAGGGAAGAAATCTGGACTTGGAAGTCGTTGTGCGGCAGAAAAAAACAATCAGGTCTCATTCCCCTCTCAATATTTTGGATTGCATGGAAAAAAAGAAATAGAAAAGCTTTCA